AGAGGCAATAACTGTAACATAAATTATGACCTGCGCATCAATGTCGAGATCCACCTCTTCAGCTTTTGCTTGGAAGCCTGGATTATTCCGAGCAACAATCTCCAAGGCTTTAGTTAGATCTTCAGGAGAAAGTTTCGTAAGAGCCACCCCAAGCTTTCTTTTCTCTTCAGTGGACATCTTTCTGGAATGGAATTTTCAAAATTAACTTAGTTTCCATGGAGAATTGGAAAACAGAATTTTAAATCTTCGAGCAGATGTAACTCGTAAGTTAGCTTTTAAGCATACCCAGAATACACCTATAAAGAAACAACTTTTGTATTCGCAGTCTTATCCACTACATATACGAAGTTGGACCACCACTAACCTGCACTTTTGAACAACAATATCCCGAAGCTCTTCCAGATGCATATCAACCTCATAAAGCTGAAAACAGGTCATTACAGAATCTTAATACATATTTTTCAACCTAACCCTAATACAAGATGAAATGCATGGTTGAGCTTGATTATACCAATAGAAAATCAATTTCAACATGCTTATGGAGAATTCTATAGTTATACAAAAATATTAATAGATCAAGCATGGGAGGAAGCAAATTAAAAGGTTTTTCAGTGCCTTATATATTTGTGAGAAAGGCTGTGAAGTTTCAGTATACCTCATTACTCAAATCACGAGCCATTTTAGCATGAGCAGCCTCCTGAGCAAGCTGCATATCCAATTTAGCCTCCACTTCCTCATCTTCTCTTCTTTTTTCCTGTGTGTATTGATTTGGTATTCCATAAAATTGCATTTCTCTCAGCAAAAAGATCATGGACTAAGATAGCTCAATAACACATACCTCTTCAGTGACTTTAGGTAGAAGTTTTAGCCACTTCTCCTCAAATTTTCCCAGCAAAGTTTTGGCCATAACATGAACATCACTTCTTTCATCATTATATTTCATTGCATTCTTAAACACTAACCTCACATCAGCACTTATCTCTCTGACATTCTTATATCCTGTGTCATCCTTAGCCTCCATTTGATTTTTTATTGTACTGAAGTCCATGGGCTTGTCGATAACCTATTGAATACCATATGTTCCAAATTCATTTAAGTCATATTCAGATGGAATCCAACTCTAAAATGGTAGAGCAATTAACAACCAGAGTGATAAATGGTTGAAACAACTAAAATTCATGGTGGGTCATATTCCCAACTAAGTAACAAGTCACACCTGCATGTGCGTGATCCCTGATCACACAAACTAAAAGTTGAAAGCACAATTCGCTATCCTTTTAAAAACAACTCGATACATGTTTAAATGGGGTTTGTGTGTTGTATCATGTTCAAAAACTTAACGATTCCTGCTCAGTCACTGGAAAAGGGTAAATGCGCTTCATGTGATTTCTGTTATGGTACATGCTGATGAAATAGGAAATTGAGAAGGATGCTATAACTTCACCTCATAATAGTCATGCAACCTAAGACCTTTAACATCTACAGGTTGCATAAAAGGCCAAGCCCATTGGTGCTGTGTGATCTGAAGGCAACAAAAAAGAAACTACATTAGATAACGAAAATCAGCTCGTAACACTTATTTTGTTTCTTTAACCTCGAGCATCCAAGAACAAATTTCCATAACTAATTGGTCTGTCATCATAACAATGAGATATAGCAGGGGTAAAAGGAACCAATTTCCATAACATATTAAACAATCCAGACAGCAATTTCTCAATCCAACTTAAGATTTCATAACAGAAAGGTAAAATCAGGTTTCATCCAGACAAACGAAAAACATAGAAAGCACCGAGGGATACATTACTTCACACAATATGGTACCGAATTGGCGCATAAGCTCTTGCATTCTCTTAGCAGCAGCAGCATCTCGTTTCCAAGCATCTTGCTGCTGTTTCCTAATACTAGGAACATGCCTCTCTTTATCTTTATCTTTCACAATCGAGCTACCACCACCTTTCGAAAAACCACTCTGCTTCTTTTTACTTATACCCAAGTAAAACTGCTCAACCTCATTCATTCTTTGCTCCAACTAAAGATTGAAAAGCAAAAACCAAAATAATCCTCAAATCTTTCACAACATTCATTCTACGCGTATTTTTTTTCAATGATCACTAACTTACTTCATCAACTTTTTCGAAAATTTCATCCACGCTATGCTTGAAACCCTCCGTGTCCGCATCGTTGCCGTCGGAATTTCTTACCGGAAGATTACCAAAATAAAAAACCGACGGTTCCATCTGACTGCTAAAACAGAAAAGAAAAGAAAACAAATACAAATTAAACTTTGTTAAAAACATTCAAAGATGGTAAAATTGAATTGCTAAGGAGAAGATATATACATAAATTTCATGTGTAAAATACCTGGAAATATACGTATCTGTATACGGAGACAGTAGAGGGAGTGGTGGAAGTAAACAGAGCAGGCGCAGGGAGACTGCTTTGTCTGGCTATCTGTCTTGCCAAATTGCGAAACGAAAACCTGACTTCTCCTTTTAACGACGTCGGTTTATTCATGCTGCTGTGATATGTCGGGTAACGGCGCCGTTTCTCTCTCTCTCTCTCTCTCTGAATGCACCAAAATAGAGTACCTCTAATATGTCCTTTTGTTTTGAACTTTTTTTCAAATCTTTTTAACATATCCTTAAATTAATTTTTATATATAGGAATTATTTTTTTCTCATATTATATACCACACTTAAAATGATATATATATATATATATATATAGAAAAAAGTTTAAATTATATTTGAATTAAAAAAATTAAGGTAGAAAGTAGAAACATGTTGAAATCAGAGGTGGATTCTTCTTGGATGTAAACCAGAAATTAAAAAATGTTCAAGCCATTTCTCTATTAAATTCTTTTTAAGAAAAAAATTACAGGGAGGTCAGATAAGATAATTTTTATACAGATTTGATACATATAAACAAAGTCTGCATACAAATTCCCCACCAATTTGTAGCCCGAGGCAGAGCACCTGGAAGAACATCAAGACTCCACATTTTTAGAAGTATTGCACACAAAGGGAATGATTTGAACTGTAGAGATGGTTCAATAATCAAGTAAAATCCACTTATTATTATTACCTATGGACTTTCCATATACATAAAATCCGAGAATCTATCTCTGATTAAGTGCAAGGATGATCAAGTCCTGATCACATGAGGGGAATGCACCCTTTAAAACAAGCCTTGGCGAAAGAACCTGAAAGATACGTCCTCCACTTTAATGGTTTGGCAAATTCCCCACGACCCTTTTGGCAGCTTTTACCTGATCTATCAATGCCCATAAAAAGGCGTTTTTCATCCCCAGCCAGCTCCGCAGCCGGGATCATGGGTGCCGGTGCTTGACGGCTCTGCCTTTTCTTGATGTCACTAAGCTCCATTTTTGCTGGAATCTTTGCCAATCCTATCAAGACCTTGTGCTTTCTTGAGTTATTACTTGAGTACTGGTCCCGGAAACTACCGGTTGAAATTGGGGCCTGAGAAGGTTTTGAGGTTTCTATGTGAAGTGAATGTGAACGTCTGCTTCTGTTCAACAAGTGAGGGGAACGAATGAATGGGTTATGAGAGTTTGTTCCATGAATAAAAGGGTTAGGACTGTTGACGGATTGTTTTGTCTCGTGGAGTATGTTTCTTCCAAAGAAGATGATATCTCGCGGGGGGTTTGTCTCTGTGCTTTGATCACCAGGTGGCGAGAACTCAAAGAAGTCTTGGCTTGAAAAGGAATTTCTTTGTTCTTGATCATCATGGTAATAAGTGTCGCTTTCAGGTTCTTCGTCGAGAGATGATGGAAGATCACCGAAGGAGAGGTCTTGTTCAGGCTCTAACCCCACCTCATGGTGATGAATAGTGGTGGAATTTTCCATTTTGTGTGCCTGTTTTTTAAAAAGAAGGAAAGAAAGAGAAGAACGAAAAATGGCCTTGAAGTTGAGAGCGAGATGGTTTTGGATGGATTGGTTTGCTAGCCAAGATCAAAGCATATAAAGGAAGAAGGGAGGAAGACTTCTTTTTTTTTTAAAGGAAGGTTCTGTCAAGACATTAGAATATTTTATTTTATTTCATTGGCTTAACTCCTTTTTGTTTCGACTGTTTTGTCAGGATTCGGGAAGGAGTACTGGGTTAAGGATTCAATAAATAAATAAAATAATAAAAATGCAAGAAGGAAAGGACATGGCAGCAGCAGTGGTGTGTTAGGACTGAGGAAATGAGATGCTTGGAAGAGAAAAACAATTAAGAAATCGATTGTTTGACTCTTGCAGGAACTGTGTCCGAAAAGAAGCCGTCAAATATACAAGCTTTCTAGATAGTATGATTAATTAACTTGATGCTGCCTGTGCCCAGTAAATTGTGCTAAACCATGATTCAATTTCTAGACAGAACCGGGTTTAATTACTTTGGTTTTGTTATCTTGTGTCTATTATATTATAATAATGAGCGACATTGTCGCAAATAAAGATGGTGAAATGTTGGAAATCATTTTAAAAACATTGCAAATGCACTTAAAAATATTGCACAGTGGATCGTCTAGATATCGCTCTTAACAGATTAAAATGGTAAAATATCCAGCTGATAATTCCGTGCTCAACCATTGTTGGTTTTTTTAATTCTAATTATTATATTCGGGATATTGCTTCTTGCCATCAAGATATTGGCTATGGATAAACGGGTATTTTAATATCTTTATTGATAAACAATACGCTATCGAGATTTTGGTGTTCCTACCGGATATTCCATCTTGTGATCTTTTTAAAGGAAGACTTCCCCTAAGCCACGAAATCTCCGAGTTGCTTAAGCCGAAAACCCCTGAAACACTTCACCGGAAAAAACCACAGTGAGGGAAATAAAAGAGAATTAAGGGGCATTCCGAGAATTGAACTCGGGACCTCTCGCACCCTAAGCGAGAATCATACCACTAGACCAAATGCCCTTCTGGCCTGCGGATTCTTCTAATTTCTATAACACAGTTGATTCTTGAGCTCCCTCCAAGTCCAAACCAAACCCTTGGATATTTACACTCACGAAGGGAGTCCTGCGGGAATCAAGAAACTCAAAGGAAGCCCAAAGAAATGGCGAGAGGAGCGGCACTTCTTCATTTGCTTCGATCTCAAAGCAAACAGCTCTCAACCATCAGAAACTTCCACTCAGGTTTCTCTCTTCATTCCTTTTCCCTAAATACCTGGCTTTCATTTTACAATCTCATTTTTACTTAAAAGAGAACAAATCAGTAACTAACTTAAAAGTCACGATGCAATATCTGATTTTTGATTGGAGAAGAAACCAGGTTGTTTCATTTCTGTGGGGGAATTTGTTCTAGAGTGAATAAAGCTGGAATCTTTAGCACATACAAGGGTTTAAATTTTCAAGAGCATAAAGATTTGGAATTGGAAGAGTGTAAGAGACCCTTAATTGTTTTTGTGCTCTTAGAGGTTCTGTTGAATTAAGAGGGAGGATCTGGGTTATGTATATAATCTAGTGAAAAGGTTTCAACTCTGTTGAATTAAGCCGTTTAATAAAGATTTAGGATCGACCAGTCTTCAGCTTTTTTAGTATCCTCAATATCCGAGCATATGTGAACTATATGCACTTTTGAATAGTTTGTTGTTGTAGGAGTAATGAATACTTGATACGTTGGAAGCTAGGAATGTATGTGGCCCAATGCCTGTTCTTCTGTGTTTTGAACTTAATAAGCTGTTAATATAAAGATTTAGGATCAACCAGTTAACATGAATTAAATTTGTTGTATTTTGTTTTAAGACGGTCCTTTTTCAACCGTGTTTTTGTGAATCTTTCCCTCTGCATCATATTGCTTTGCTGCAATTTCTATTCTGTGCTGCCTAGACTGAAATATGTGCCTGGACTTATTTACAGCTTGGACTTAAAAGATCATATTTAATTTTGCTTACGGGGACACTTTCTTGAATCAGCTAGCTTGTTTGTTGATCTTTGTGTGTAATATCCCTTGTCTCTTAAATGGTTTCATCAAACAATGTCAGGAACTTTAAAGTCATTTGCTTTTTGCTGCTTCTATGTTGAAATTCTCATTTGAAAACATGAGGTCACTTTTGTGAAATTAAATTGTTTTTGGGCAAAGCTGGTCACTGGTTAAGTTCAGTTGTTCATGGATATGGTTTACTTGTTACTGGGAATCTGTTGTGCCCTATAGCTTGTGATGGACTATATGGCTGAAGGTATCATCTGTTTAGATGAATTCTAGAAGTACCACTGGCTGTCACTTAAATTTTATTTTTAGCTCCTTTTTACATGATTTCAATAAGAGAATAAACGTCTTAGGCGTTGTCTTGGAACTTTCTACCAATGCCATAGTCTAAACGAATCGGACTTGACAAATTGCTCACCGTCTTAGACTTGTATTTCAATTCAGTAGCACCTGCTATTACAGGATTCATAACGTGATCATTGATTTCCCTTTGATAATTCCATGCCCCATAGCAATTTCTATTATGTGTATCTGAACCTGTAATTGGAATATGCTATGATCTCTGTTCAATTTTCCTCTTTACTCGGGTTCATTTATACATATTTTATTTGTTGCTGATCATGACAAGTCATATTTTAGAGTCAGCCTATTGATTTGTGTCGGGAAGGTTCTTATTATGAGTCGAATGCAGATTATTCTTTCTGAAGTTGCTTGATTATGTTTTAGTATTATCTGTTATGTAGTAATGTCTGCTTCTGTTTGGAGAGGCTAATCAATAGATGAGAAAGCATATCTACAAAGTTCTTGGGAGCATTTCTGAAATAGCTACTATTCTATGTTTTCTTATTATCATTGTTTTTCTCTCTTTTAGGCTATCGTCCTTGTCGGTTTGGCACATGGCCACATGATCAGTGTGCCAAACTCAACTTCAACCATGCCACTCAGAAAAGATGGGCATCTCGAGCTACAACAACAAAAGATGACAGTAAGATCAGCATTGGACCACGCCGAGGGAGGGAAGCAGGAGAAGATGAAAAAGAAACTGGGGTGGTGTATTATGGTCCAATCTCATCCACCATCAAGAAAGTAAAAATGCTCTCTCTTTCAACATGCTGTCTGTCTGTATCCTTGGGTCCTGTTGTAACTTTTATGACATCTCAAGATACAAATGTCATCCTGAAGGGGGCAGTTGCATCTTCTGTTATATTCTTCAGTGCTTCAACCACTGCTGCTCTGCACTGGTTTGTTAGCCCTTACATTCACAAGCTTAGATGGCAGCCCGGCTCAGATAGTTTTGAAGTGGAGATGATGTCCTGGTTGGCAACCTACATTCCAAAGACTATCAAATTTGCAGATATCCGGCTTCCAGAAACCAACAGGCCCTTTGTGACTTTTAAGGCGAACGGAAATTTCTACTTCGTTGATTCAGAGCACTGTCATAACAAGGCATTGCTGAATAGACTAACCCCACAGAAATCAGCTCACGAGTCTGCTTTCAAAAATTTGTGATTGGAAAATTCTGCAAGGTTTCCATGAGTGCGAGATGACCTGATTTTACTTTGTGGCTTGTGATAAGCTCTGGCCTGGTTTTGAGCCATGGGCATGCCCCCCCGGCCTTTTTCTACTTATCGAGACAATGTTTTCTAGAGTAGGAAACGAATCAATATTTGAATTTTGATGTTAATGTCATGGATAAGTTTACACTTGAAGTTTTATTTTATCTTGGGTAAGGGAAGGGGCCAAAAGGCTCAACACAAGCTAGCAAGCCTTGCAATCACGTGGAGTGGCAATCCCATATCAGCCCATAAGCATTTCCACTTACCAGCAGGAGGCCCTGCAAAACACACCACGCTGCTGATCACTTGATCTGCTCCTTTGGTTACCAATAAATCAGCACGTGCTGGAAGTGCAACTTGCCATGCTCTCCTTAACAAGGTTCTAATCTGGTTCATGAGGGAACGAGTACTTCCAGCATTTTTCTCTGGCCGTCGTTAGTAAGTGGATAATTGTCTGAGAGTGCACCTCCAATATCACCTGCATATATCCAGTGACTCCCTTCAGCCAAGCCATCTCCTACGCCAAAATTCAGCTGTGATTAAGTGATGTACAGGAAGCACCAGAATGAAGCAAACCATATATATATATATATATATCCCCTGCCAATAACCAAGCAAGCCTCCTCTACCTAAAATTCCAGGTTCTCCTCTGCTAAACCGTCCATGTTAAGTTCAACCGACCTTGGGAGGGTGGATTCCAAGCAATATGCCTTCCGTCCCCAGCAACGTGGGGTTCGGTGAAGCATGCTTTATTCCAGGTTGCTTTAATTTCTTCGATAGAATGAGAAATGAGAAATGAAATTTCAGTGAAAATTATTAGTAGGAAAAAGAGAGGAAATTAAATGGATTATTTTGGTCAGTGGCTTTGGGATTGAATAGCCCTCATCTACACCACCTCCTCATGCGATGCACTGGTGATCGTTTTCTTTGCCAGTTTGGAGACATTGTGAAGGCGGACCTAAACTATTCTCTCAATTTGAAAACCTCAATACTCTCACCGGTCTGCTCCACACTAGCCCGGGACGCAGGCAATCTATTAGCACTTGCTTTGGTCTCCACGCTGTAAGGGCACTCAAAATCAAATTTAATACAAGCTCGAGTTTGCATCAGGAAGACAGGTCACGCCAATTTTCTCGCAACAGATTTCAAAAAGATCTCGCTAAACAGTTGTGAATCCCAATTGCCTCTGCAGCTAGAGCCCGGTCCACCCAAGCATTCGTTCCCGGTGGCCAGCTGATAAATTTGGACTGCCTTGATAAATAAATAAAAATTACAATGACATTAGACTCATTCAGTCACCTAAGAAATGAAGCACAAAGAACAAGAAATGGGAACAGGCAATCGTCTTAATCCTCGGCAACTCGACCCGCAATGGAAGTATCGCGATACAACCTTGCAAATACTACATTGCAGTTCAAACCTTAAGAGACAGGCAATAGAAAAAACATTCAGAATATCACTCTTCTACAAAGGCATAGGTAGAAACTAAGTAGACGAACACAAACTAGACAAGTAAAATTGTAAAAAGCATTCAAGGGTACATAACATAACAGCAAAATACTCAACTCTTAGCAGAGCAAGTGAAAATTAAAACAGATTAAAATTCTCCACATGGGAGACACAACAATGACTCGGAAGAAAAATAAAGACCAAAACCCCGCCACCGCCTATCAAGAACCCAGTTCTGTGAACAAAAGCCTTGCAATGAAGGTGATGACTTAATACTACAGTTCTCATAATGAACAGATAGACATCCAAGAAGCGGACCAGTAACAAGAACCCACTCTCGATTTTTATTAAAGCTTCTTAGTGCACCAACCCGCACAATTCACTTTCCACCCTTCTTGGCAGCAGATTTGGTCACCTTGGCACCAGAGGGATCCTTCTTCTCCACGCTCTTGATCACACCCACAGCAACGGTCTGGCGCATGTCCCTCACAGCAAATCGACCAAGTGGAGGATACTCTGAGAAAGTCTCCACCACCATGGGCTTGGTGGGAATCATCTTAATCATACCAGCATCACCGTTCTTCAGGAACTTGGGCTCCTTCTCCAGTTCCTTACCAGACCGCCTGTCAATCTTGGTGAGGATCTCAGCAAACTTCACAGCAATGTGAGAGGTGTGGCAGTCAAGGACTGGAGCATAACCATTTCCAATCTGTCCAGGATGGTTCATGATGATAACTTGGGAGGTGAAGTTGGCAGCTTCCCTGGCAGGATCGTCCTTGGAGTTTGAGGCAACAAAACCACGCTTCAGATCCTTAACAGCAACATTCTTAACATTGAACCCCACATTGTCACCAGGAAGGGCCTCTTGGAGAGCCTCGTGGTGCATCTCAACAGACTTGACTTCAGTAGTCAGTCCAGTTGGACCAAACGTGACAACCATGCCGGGCTTGATGAAACCAGTTTCAACACGACCCACTGGGACAGTTCCGATACCACCAATCTTGTACACGTCCTGAAGTGGGAGACGGAGGGGCTTGTCTGAGGGCCTCTTGGGCTCCTGGATCTGGTCGAGGGCATCCAGGAGTGTTGGGCCCTTGTACCAGTCAAGGTTGGTGGACCTCTCAATCATGTTGTCACCCTCAAATCCAGAGATGGGGACAAAGGGAATCTTGTCAGGGTTGTAACCGACCTTCTTCAAGTAGGATGACACTTCCTTCACAATTTCATCATACCTTGCCTTGGAGTATTTTGGAGTGGTGGCATCCATCTTTTCCAAAAAGAAGAAGCAAACATCAGTAGAAAACAAAAAACAACTTAACTACAAACATGCAACAGGAAAGAATTCAATGAAATATCAATCACCCAGTTAACTTGAAGGAAGAAAAAACAAATATACCTTGTTACAACAGCAGATCATTTGCTTCACACCCAGGGTAAAAGCAAGAAGAGCGTGCTCACGGGTCTGGCCATCCTTCGAGATACCAGCTTCGAAACCACCAGTGGTGGAATCAATGATAAGCACGGCACAGTCAGCCTGGGAAGTTCCAGTAATCATGTTCTTGATAAAGTCGCGATGTCCAGGGGCATCAATGACAGTGCAGTAGTACTTGGTGGTCTCAAACTTCCACAATGCAATATCAATGGTAATTCCGCGCTCGCGCTCAGCCTTAAGCTTGTCGAGCACCCAGGCATACTTGAATGACCTCTTGTTCATCTCAGCAGCTTCCTTCTCGAACCTCTCGATGACACGCTTGTCAATACCTCCAAGCTTATAAATCAAGTGGCCAGTGGTGGTCGACTTTCCAGAGTCAACATGGCCAATGACCACGATGTTGATGTGAGTCTTCTCTTTACCCATGCTTAAGTCTTAGTGTTAAACTGTTAAACATAAAAATATAATGTTAGAAACCATCCATGCCATACTAAAAATACATGATAAGAGCATTCTTGAACTAAACAATGAAGTCAACATCCAGAGGATAAATCACAGCAGTAGCTTTAAATTATTGACAGATTTTAGCAATTAAATTTCCAAAATTTCAACCTATAATAAAATTGCTATTAAAATCACAAAGCAGTACAGTGAGAACTGTTTATATAACAATTCTTCAAGAGTGCGACATCCATTTAAAGAGAATAAAAACACCAACTATCCATTATCTGATAAACAGTTGCAGCTTTTCAGATTTACAAATTTCAAATCCCGATAATTAAACAAGTCTATTATCTCATCAACAAACGAGTAAAAGATCTAAATATCATCCATGAGAAGCCAGGTCAACAGATATGTAAAAAAAACATTTTCTTCAGAAGCTCATAACAACAACAACAACAATTAATTTCGTCAAGCAGGAACAATTATCATTCAAGTTCTAACACGGAGTCCATATACACTAACGATATCTTTTAGATCTTAAAAAAATAAAGAATAAAAAGAATTACAAAGGCACTAACAGTCAAAATTTAAACACAATACAGCTTAAAATCTTCGACAGCGAAAGCAGAAAAACTAACAAAAGTTAATTAGAGATAACCAGGAAAACACGATTACAATAACCTTTATTAGAACTGCAATAGAAAGCAAAGAGAGATAGAGATCGAAGAATCTGACCTGAAGAAGGTTTCGCTTAAACCTTGGCCGCAAAAGAGATAACAGGCAGAGAGTAGCAAATGTGGGTGAAGAGAGAATGTAGGGTTTGTGTTATTTATATTGCAAATATTGTAATTTAAGTTCCTAAAATGTCCTTGTTGTTAATTTAGAATCCCTGAGATATCCTCTCGTGACTTTTACCTGATGTGTATATATAACAGCCGCATGAACGCGCGTATTACTATTATGCTAGCGAATCAGTGCCTATGCTTGTTCACGCGCTTTAGAAAAGCGTGGAAGTGGCGGAAGTGTCTGTGTCCACTTTCAGGTTTAAGGATTTGACAGGGTGTCATAGAGAACACGGTATAAAAATGAGAGAAATGTCAAATGATAAAAGCTTGCTGTCCGCAAAAGGCGAAGGCAGAAGAATAAACGACGTCATGTTGTCTGTTTTTTGTAGGCTATTTTTGGGAGTTTATTCCAGGAGTGCCACATTAGAAAAAATATTTCTTAATCTAACACTGGAATTAATTTGCATGCAGCTACTGATAAATTTCATTTTTTCTCGTTCTCAAATAATTCATCTATGCAGAAATCAACATGTACTTTTATAAAGTTCCAATGATATGAAAAAAATAAAAATATTTAATGGCTATAAAAAAAATAACATGCCAGAAAAACAGAAATAAATAAATAAATAATAAGGACATCATTAAAAAAGTATTAATAAAATGAATTCATAACTTTAAAGCTAATGGATAAAAAGTCAACATGTTATAATTTTTAAATTACATTTGCATTTCACAAGTAACTTTAAAATTATTTTTTCATGATTTTTTTTTATTGATATATTTTTTAATAATGCTATAAGTTATATCATTGAAACTTCCACTATGTTTTAGTTTTGTTTTCTAATTTCTATTCTAAGATTCTAATTCTTAGTTTTAATTTTTAATATTGTTAGTTTTTTATTTTCTCCTTAATGTAAATCTTGTTTGTTTGTAGAAAATTAATTTTTTTTAGAAAGTAATTTTCTTGTAAAATAAATTATAAAAAAATAAATTATTTTTCAATATTTAATAGTGTTATGATTGAAAAACATTTTCTAGTATTGGGTTATGTTATTAAAAATATCTTATTAATTTTTTTTTAAATTTATTGAAATAATAAAGAATAAATCTTATAAATTAAAAAGTTGAATGAAAATATAATTAAAAATAAATAAATTTCATAAATTATCTCAAATAAAGTAAATAATAATCAAAATAACAGATATTAAATATAATAGATAAAAAATTAAAAAATATTAAAATTAAAATAATTATAATTATAATTTCTTAAATTATTTTAAATAAAAAAACAAAAATAAAAAATTGATAAATAAAAAAATTTAATTTAAAAAATAATAAGAAAAAAATAAATAACAATTATAAAAATAAAAATAAAAATTAATATAAAAATCAAATCAAATTAAATTTTAAAAAATAAATTTAAAATAAAATCAAACAAAATATATAACAATTAAAATTTTATATTCTCACAACGATTCAAAATAAAAAAAAAATTAAAATATATAACAATTAAAATTTTATATTAAATAAAAAAAATACTTTTTTCAAATTAAACTAAATTTTTCTTTAATAAATAAATATTTTTCATTAATCAAAAAATATTTTTTATTAATAAACTTTTCTAATATTAAATAAAATAAACACAGAAAAACGTTTTCCATGGAATTTTCTTTCACATGGGTTAAACTAATTATAATTTGCAGAGGTGGGCTTCTTGGGCCAGGAAAGCCATAGAAGCTTCATTCTATAGCCTCTCGTGCCTCAAATTATTATTATTATTGACTGAGATGAACAAAGTTCTTAGAATGATTAATTTAATCGAAGCAAGTCAATACGTCATGTGTCTGTGCAAGTTCGATTTATTATAGGAATTATTGATAGAAAAAATCGAGTTGTACATGCAAGCTACGACGATGGAAGGTTACAGATATAATTTCAAAAGCTATATATGGAGCCGTAACTACCATTAGCGTGTAAATTTGGAGTTTTTGGAGATGTTTTGGAAAATTCAAGAACAGTTTTCCTAGTGCACCCTAAGATCATCAAATCCCAGCCATGCGACATTTTCTGCAAGAAAAAAAATGAACCTTGGCCTTGCAAACATGCAACCCAAGACAAAAATAAATGAAGCCGGAAAAAAACACGAGGAAGCAAGAGAACAAGGAAATACTCTAAAAAAATACAAATGAGTAGCATCCAGATGAAAAGGTTCAAACTTGGTAAATCATGTATACGGCGACAATATTTGTTCTGCACAAACATAGAAATGCCAACGCAACAAGAAAATTAGACGGGGCATAAAGAGCAAGAAAGACTTCGAAGAACCAAAGATCACAAAAGGAACATCCCAGAAAAACAAACCTAGACGTTTACTCGAGTGAAGTTGGTGGCTCTGAGAAAATGTACTGCAGCTTTGCATTGCCCAAGATAACACAACAAGCGTAATAATATTCAAGAGAAGGTTAAAAGATGCCGCCGAATACTCATTGATTTACATGTGTCATAGTTCTGCCTATAGGATCTTAAAATCTTCATCCAAGTCAATGGTCATTTCACAGGTAACATGCGACGAAGAAAATTGCTGAATCATGCAAGTTGCAGGATGAACATCTTGAATCTACCTTGCAAGTCACACAGCCAATATTTACCCCCCTTTTCTCCATGCTCAACCTCGGCCACCAGAGATAAATCATCTGAGTGCCCAACTTGTCTGCATTTATAAAAACAAATAATTTAAATTTGAAATCCACAATGGAGAAATTCACTAATCAGAGCAACCCCAAGGTAAGATGTTGGAACACAATTCCTACAAATCAAATTAAGGGCCACTGGCTTCATCCAATAAAACCATTCAAGCCTACAACCAAATTTTGTAAAACCACAAACCTGTTGGCAGTGCGATGAACCCCATCTGCAGCCCCTCTTTCATAGTTGAATACAATCTGCCTTGCTTGCGGTTGGTTGCATCTATTTCAAAACCCACTTCAGCAATAACCTGATAAGATATTGCATGCCTTCTAATGTTGTAACATAGAAGTTCCCAAAGAAATGGAAATCAAATTTAACCACCTCTAGCAACCTGCCCCGCTTCCTGTTGGTTGCTCATCTACTTCCAAATCCACCTAGGGATTAATGTTCTATGATGCACAACTCCAATCCCAATTTTCACCCTATTGACACAGTAATGCCATAAATGTTGCTCGTCTGGCAACTCACCATCCTGTCCCATCCCATGGCTCCACTGGCAGCCACAAACAGAGAAAATAAGCAGATTTCTCCAGCTCTCTATAATTCTCCAATAATTCAGTTCAATGAGAAAATTTATGTTTTACTTTTTTTGTCAAAGAAGGCTACCTATGACGTCTAAGACTAACCACTAACCACCACCTAGAAAAATGCGTTTTTCATTCCCTTGTTCAGACTGATATTAGCAGTTGTAAAACTCAAAAAGACAAGATAGTTGTCTGACCTGCCAAATCTTCAACACCAAGATCCAACAATAGATAAATACAAGGGTACCTAAAAGAGAGCAAGCAAATAGCATTAGACAATCTGATTTGAATAATACTGTCAAACTTGTTTGACACAAAACTATCAAAGATGGTCAGCTCATTAATAAGTATCCACTAATTCTGTTAACACTAGCAACAGATTCAATTGCATCATACACAGTTTCCTATTCAACACAATTTTACAAATATTGCTGGTTATCAAATGCACGGTTTGCATTTTGGTCTTTATCTCAAAAAGTCAATCATTTCCTACCATCTTTAGACAAGGTTATCATCAGAGCACTCACAGCTGAATGATAACTTGAATATCCAGAAATTCTACTAAAAAAAATAACAACAAATAAAAAGAAGCACACTCCATTTAGAAACTCCTTAGCAATTTTTCTTTGGCTGTATTAGCCACACCAAAGTAAAATCATTTGGCTAGCATTACAGATGTTCAATTGTAGTATATACAAAGTATACTACTTTAACCCAATATTACGTGTATAACACCATCACAGTCACATGTTCACATATAAACACATACAGAGGCACATGCGTGTTAAGTATAGAAGCTAAAAGTAATGATATATCAGTTAACACTGAAATTTAAAACAACAAATGTCCAATTAATGCTCACCATTAAATAAAGCAGACCCATTACTGCTGTAAAATCATGTAGCACATCAGCGTTGATCCAATAGGCATCATGATCAATAGGCTTCACATGCACATGCTAGAAAGAAATTATGTGCTTCATTCACAAGAAAAAGACTAAACAACATGAACAGGGAGCATCGTACTAGTGGCTATTAGCCTTCCCAATGAATCAAAAAATGTATTTCCCTTCTTGTCTTTCAGAATCTATTGAGAATAAACACGTTGTCTCACAGATCGTGGCTGGCGAGGAAATGAGAAAGGGCCATCTGAAATTTTCTTGTTATATTTCCCATTAGACCTAGCTTCATCATTTAGAGCTGCAACTGAAGTAGCTGCAAAGGCTCAAAGTTAACACCTTACCGAAAACCATAAACGATTAAAATTTAACTCAGCGCATACATTTACAAAGATGAATGTGTGAGTGAACATAACCACAAATCAGAATAATCGATATTATAGGTCACAAAATTATATTCCATCACAAAATTGACACGGAATTGCTTTCATATTCCTGATTTAGAAAAAAAAAGCTTCTACCAGAAGGGAAAAATGACCAATTCTAAAGATTAGCAACTGGTTTTAAAAGCATAGTTAATGATCACCCATGAAACTTCAAGGAGTTTGATTGCATAAATGGCACCACATGAGAACCCATGACCTGATCTAAGCATCTAACTGCTTTAAAAATGCTAGCAATATCATTGGCCAAAAAAGTGGCCAGCATCACCGAGTTAACACTTTAGATCATCACATTCAATTATGCTTTAACAAATTGGCATAAATACCAATTCAGGACCCTAAAGGAATCAACACAAGATTTTCTTGATCCCAAAACAATTAAGCCCTCCATGATACATTTGGAAACAAATTTGTATTGGAGAATTATAGAAATTTTGAAATGTTGGAAATTTAACATGGATTTAATCAGCTGGAATATAAAGCAACAACATTACCATCTAATCCAAAGTATTGCTTAAAACAATGTAAGAATATCAATCAGGCACCTTGATTTGATCCCAACTGGTTTCTCAAATCAACCCCATTTTTAGCAGCACCCTGATCATGATTCCTGGTGTGATTGCCAAAACTCTCACTGGTGCTGCTGAGGCTAAGGGGAAACCAATCCTCAGTTGGGGCACAATCTGATACAGTAGGCTGGTGCACCAAGTCAGGCTGCACAGGTTGAACGGGGAGAAATGCTTGTAATGAGGGGTCCTCAGCAACAAATCTCATATGATTATCAACCAAGCCAACATCCATATCAACATTGGCGTCACAGGCTAAAGAATCTAGGACCTCACCACCAGAAGTTATAGCTAGCGTTGATGCCAGTGTACAACCATTCATTGGAACAGCACAACTAATGGAAGGATGATCCAGATCAATAAAAGCATCTGATACATCTGGGTCTGTATTAAATAATTGGAAATGGGGACCAGCTTGAGTACAAGAAGAGTATGACCAGTTAGACATCCCAACATCATTGACACCTGTATCAAAGAGACCAAAACAAGAATTTGCACCTGCATCGAGACCTAGATCTTCTAAGTATGAGTCTGTTATTCCAGGATTGATAGCCAATGAAGAACCACTCCCATTTACTCTGTAAGTATCACAGACAGTTTCAGGAGGAACTAAATTGACATTCTCTTCATCAGAATCACTTAGAATAATGATGTCAGCATTCCCTGATGGCACAGAACTACCATGGTTTATTGCAAGTGTTGGGTCAAAATAATGACAGATAGAGTTGATCTCATTGACACTACTGGGAGATATTTCAACATGCCCACTGTAATCTTGGTTTATACTAGGGTCCTCTTCATCCCCGCCGCTTCCAGTGGTGCTACTACTCATTGTTATTGTCCTTTCGCCATGATTTACAAAACTTCCCTCAAGTTGATTCTTTGAGGAACAAAAAGCAAGCTGATGGTTTCTTCCTTGCACGATTCCACTGAGATTATTCTTAATTCTGATCTCAGGACTAACATGTGCTTTCAAGCCATCTCCCTTCTCGATCTGCCTCGGGATTTTGTAACAGGAAGTAACTTCATCAGTAAGAGCACAAAGAGAACCATCAGGGAAATGCCATTGCCTGAGATCACCTATGTCAACTTTGGTCTTTACAGTCCAAGAACCATCAGGTTTCACCTCAATCTCAGTTATGTCTTCTTCACAATGACCCATCTATACCAATAAGCATATATACATTTTATCTTGTTAAAATTTTGATAGACATGCTAGTAAAAAAAGTTTAAGCTATTAAGCATAGGAACTACCATTGTTGTAATGCGGTTGAAGTAAGGATCAATGACGATATCCTCCAAGCAGTAATTCTTAAGACAAATAGGGCACTGCCACTGCAACCACGGAACACCTCACTCAGATATATAAACTTGTGAATCAAATACAAAATGAGAATTGCAATACATGTATGTTAGATCACTTACCTTGCGAGAGCGTTGATTTAGTTTCACAAAAGTTTCAAGATCAAAACAGCCCATGTGAGCACAAGGTTTAAATCTGCCAGCAATCTTCATTCTAGAGCCACTCATCTACCATATTGACATGGTCAATTAAAAAGATTACTAATGGACCCCAACCCACAAAAGAAAGGAAAAGTAAATTGAAATGAATAATATTCTCAACCAACAATTTTAATAGAACTGGTCTTTCTCATTAAACCATTTTTGTGTGCCATAGCTGCAAGCCATAGTGACATGTTAACAATGGAATGGACTGAAAAAAAACACTAGTTATCCTATCAAAATGCAAACATCATGATGCATAAAGATCATACCACATACCCAAACTTGGGATTATGCTAGATCAAAAGAAAAATGAATCTTTTGCCAAGAATCATAGGACATTATCCATATCAAGGTCAGATGAAACTGCATGACATGTGCTAAATACATTGAGGAGCATGAAAACAGGAAAGCCAGGCATACTCACTGGACAGCGGAGATTAACTGTAATCGCCTCTGCAATCACCTCCAAATCACTATCACTATCTTCGTTTGTAGTACCCATCCCACCACCAATGCAACGACAAACACGAGCAAGAGAATCTTCAAAAGACTCACCAACTTTGGGAATCAGGTTGAGAACCTTCGGTAGTAAATTGATCAGCAGAGGAAAAACATTTAGTGACATAGAACTCAAGGCACATTGTTTCTTTGGATCTAAGAGTGAGATGTAGCATAGATGAGCACAAACAAATATATAAAACAAAATTAATACACTTAGGAAGACATTTTTATAAAAATCAAGTTTGCTACATTTTTTTGTAGGCAAATAGAGGCGGCAGTAATGTAATGTTCCAAAAAATTGATTCTATGGACATAGCCTTCAAACAGATGAGACATCCATTTGTCCCAACAAGTAAATCACATGAATGAAAGGTGGGAACACCTGTTCAACAGTTCGTCGCTTTACGAGTCTGATGCCAAAGCAGAAAACACGAGAATCACATCCTGATAAAGAAATTCTATTTATTCCCTCTCGAATGCATAATTTGATCTGACAACAAGAGCACCAATGTTAAGTTCAATTAAACATGTAATGAAAGAATGCTCGACTTTAACTCAAAACAATATCCAATCAAATACAAAGTCACACACAAAAAAATATGGACACAAACAATGCCAATTAGGATATTAACACTCAAAATCATCTCATAAGAAAGGAGAATGGGGAATGGACTCACTTGTGCACCATCATCACGGCCATCCCCCCCGGCCATTAGCACCGAGAGACTGTGATGCTGGTCTATTTAGCGTTCTCACGGGCATATCTGTATTTAAAGAATGAAGAACTGTCAACTGGGCTTTTGCATAGCATTCAAGGGAAAAAAAAAAAGACTTCTGAAATACTGGCTCCACTGGCTTGTCAGTCAACAAATTAAAACAAAATGAACCAACTCCAAGCAACTTGTTTGGAGGGTCTGAGCAACGAGCATACCAGGCAAACATTCCTAAATCACCTATTTCGCCTCTTTTGCATAAAGAACATCAGGCCTTTAGAGGGGGTACTTATGTGGCAAGCTTAGCAGACCAAGTCATGGGTGAAAGGTGTCATATCTTCTCTCAGTTAAATAAATGCATATCGACCAATAGCACCTTACGACCTTAACCCCACTAAAATAAATTGTTTTAGCCAAGGTGTTGCACCTGAAACCTTATCATGATCAAAAGATCCTTGTGTAATGCATCAGATGCATAACAATTATTGTTCACCATACAACACTATTGTTAATCCAAGAGAAAAGCCTAATGGATTGCAACAACACAATGCAATCCATCCATTTCATGACCAAGGAAAGTCTAGTCATTACTGAATTATGAAACATTTCTATACCTGCCTTAAGGACAACACCAATGCTTAACCAAAGTTACACCCAGATAAAAAAAAAAAAAGGTGTAACAGAAGAGACTGTTCAGATCATATTAATAATTCTATTACATATGAGAAAGGTAGTAAAGCTGCTGGTGCACCCATTAATGAATAATGGAAGATCACATTTGCATACCATTAACCTGCAAATTTGCATGAAGCGGCCACTGAATCCTAAACAAAACATGATCATTGAGAAGCATGCACCAGGCCTACACAAAAACAACTTGAGCATGTAAATTTATGTGGACATGACAAAACTATGGAGGCATGACCCTTTTTTTATTAATTGTGAATATTCTGCAATCAACGCGCCATTCAGGAAACCAACCTGAACATCATATTCACAATTCTGTAGTAGCTGTTGATTTGATCTTGTCAATTGAAAAGTTGTTTCCACATTCTGCAATGTGACATTACTGGAGAACATTGAAAAAAAAAATCAGAATATAATGAATTACAAAAACACATGAGCCAAAAAATTGAGAAAATAAGAGCTAGAATGGCATATAAAAAAAAAGCCTCAACCCAAAAACGGAATTGCAAAATTATAGATCCAAAAAGCTATAGCAACAGTTATAATGCTAACAAAATCAATTTCATGGCTCATTAATTCTTGTCGTGTGATAGGCTTAAGTGGATTCCTTGATTGGATAATTTATCCCCCCCCCAAAAAAAAAAAAAAATCAATCCCCCTCCATAGTTGTAGCAGCACTTAATTCTAAGGTTGGGAGAGAGAGAGCGAGCTCACCCATCCATTGAAATATTTGAACTCTTTAACTTCACAGGCAATGATAGATGCGCCTCAGTAACCCAAAAACTGCCCACAAGAAGCATGTCAATATAGTAGAACCCTTCATTTGCAAATCTAATCTAAAGAAAACAAAAGTAAAAAGACTGAAACAAACATAAATCACCAATAGTAGTCCATTGAGCTTATGGGTGATGGTCATGCATCAATTCTAATAAGGGAATCAATATGCTGAACACTCAGATCAAGATCTGCTTCATGAACTGCTAGAAAAAAAATATGTACATGCAAAGGCATACGACCACAAAAAGAAAAACCCATGATTCATGTGTAATTTCTCACGGAAAATCATCATATCAAGTGTGAAAACATGTCATGCAACCCATGCTAAAGTATGTCCCAAATAATATTTTGACATGCCTTTTTGGAATGATTATACCATTTTGTTCTATGAAAATGGAGATCCTCTTTGCTAGGTGAAAATAGAGAGTTTATCCACTTCCCATTCTACCTCAGAACTACTCTTTTGTTTCGACACGTGGCAAGCAACAATTAAATAGAGCAAGTTCAAAGTCACATCCATACAGAACAATTATGAGCTTACAATACCTTCACATAGAGAAGAAAATCCATTGTGGACACAAAATCATTTTCTATTTCGTACACCATTAGGAGACAATAATCATGCACCAGGAAAAGAAAAATAGTGATGGCCATAACTGGACTAATTAGACACGATTCACTTGGGAACATACATATATGACCAAACAAAAAGATAACTATAAAATACATACGGATCTGCTCGGTCAATACGGCATGTTTCACAGTAAAATACAGGTGGAATTGGATGGTCACTCTCCACAGGGTTCTCCAGAAAAATGACGCAACTAATATGTTGTTGCACTTGACATTTTGAATCTATACACTGCATATAGAAAAGCCCCAGTAAGAATTTGAAACGACACTCTACATTTCACAAGGGAAGCAAAAATCAAATAATCAGGCAATGTAAGTGCTCTGAATCCTAAGATGCTGTGTAACGCATTCAACTTCATAGCTAGCTATCTCTTCCTGCTAAAACTCAAAGATTAAAACAAAGAACTAGATATCCGATTAAGCTGTGACTGCAGAGTTCTTCCATGTTTAATTCAAACCAGAAAAGAAAAATACCACTATGTTTGACCTTACCTGTATCATGAACTCGGTTGGCAGTGAACTTCCACAAGGACAACGAATCCTCTTCTCTGGACTAATGAAATCTTCAACTTCTTCTTTAACACTCATAGTATCTAAGCCACTTGGAGCCCTCACTGCTAAATCTGATGCATCTGTAATCTGCATTTTTCTGGGGAAAATAATTGGTTTAACACACGACATATGAGCAAGAAACAAGGGGAAATAACACTTTATTTTCCAATAAATAGATGGGCAAAATATAGGTTTAGAAGAAACTAGAAGTATTTTGATTAGAAAACCAAACCATTTGTACAAAACAAGTCAGGAAATTACAGGCAGACACCCACACAGAAACACTACAGAGCAGCCATCAGGATGCACAGGACATGAAAATAGAAATAAAATAAAAACCTGTAAGCATCATCAATTATTTTCACTACAGCTTCCTTTCCAATCTGCTGTTTCCTTACAAAGCTGCGAGTGGAGCAAACTGCAAAAAGTTTTCACACATGTATAATCACATTTATCAGGAGTTGAATTAAACTGCGCTGAGGCAAGTAAATAAAGAGTTGTGATTATAAACAAGAGGAACCAAATTCATGACAACAGAGGGGATGATTAGATGTCGAGAAACATTGGCACGAAAGACACATCTGAAATTAAAATAAAATAAAATAAAAGAACAAAAGAAAAGAAAAAACATACAGGCTGATTCCCCTAGAGCCCTGACTAACAGTACCAAGGGCAAATAATAAATAACATTCTATAAATAACAAAAATTGCAATGATAACTCACTTTCATCATCTGAGAGCAAGCCCAAAACTCTGTCCATTAAATCCTGCACAAAAAGAAAAATATCAGATAAACCAATCATGATTTAAATGCAGGAAAAAGGAAGGACCTGAAAATTATTAAGCCAGCAAACAAATTAAAAATGAGTAAAACCAGCAAATCTTTGCACAAACAATTGCAAAAAAAAAAAAATATAACAGAAAAAGGAAGACAGAGACCTGCTTCTTCCCTTGCTTTGAAAGACCCAACAGGGATAAAATATCCTTGAGCTCTTTAATTCTAAAATATGCCAACTTTCCCTTCAAGTTAAGCATATAAACATTATTAGCACAGATACATACATGCATGCATAAATAAAAAAATAAAATTCTTCTTTGCCACAAAAACGTGAATCAACATCCAAACAAACCACACTTTGATCAACACCACCACTGATAAGCTTACTAAATTACTGATTACCTTGCAACTAGCCACTAAATTCATCTCCATCAGCACAAAAGGCCTAAAAAATGAATAACAAAACCACAGAATTCAGCCCAAAACCATAAAATCACCCAAACAAGAGATGGTTAAAACAAACAGGCCTAACTTTGACTTGAAATTGAAAGGACGAGAAAAGGAGAAGGAAAACAGCAGTGATTATTCTGAGCTAGGGTTTTTAGTGATCAGTAAAGTTCATGACTTTACTAACTTTGTAGAGGGAAAAGGGGGAAGGAAGATGGGTCTTAAATTTACAGCGATGAATGGTTCAGGTGGTTGTTACATACGAGAACAGCGGATTCGAAAAGTTTATATAAATTTCATGTTTTGGAGTTTGTGTACAAGTCCGGGTCGGAGTTCGGTGCATGCAGAATTAGGGAGTTTGGGGAAACGTGGAGGAACACGATTGGCTGTCAAATCTTTTAGCAAATGAGTGTGCGACGGTTCGTGGGGTCTTGGAGTTGGTGAGTGAGTACGAGAAACATTAAAAGAACATTATCGTGGATTCTGCTGACGTAGGCAGTGTCTTTTCGGCGTGGCTGTCCAAGTCCGTTAGTATTGACTCACGGTTCAACTGGCGTTAGCAAAAAATAATATTAGGTGAGGTGCCCTCTTCTTCTCTCTCAAGTTTCCCCACAAAACTCTCCTCCTGCCTCCCCTTTGTAAATAAATTTATTTTCCAAGCGTTTTGTTCTTACATATTCATTTACTGAAAACGTAAGATCATGAAAAACCTCATGGCTGTGAGATTCCGGTTTTCAATTCCTAGATTTTTAATACTTTATGTATGCAGAAAACTTGTTAGAGTCGCATGAAAAAAGAAGCGAAAACATGGTTGATTAATTATAAATTTCTCAGTCCTTTCAAACAAAAGATTCGCTTGCTGTCTTCGTTTCTTATCCCAAAAAATGTGTGGATTCGGCTAGTATGTGATTAGTATACAGTGAAAAAAAGAAGGGGATAAGCATGGAGTTTTGCGAGATTGCCAAATCTGTGGTGCGACTTGATTGTGTGCTGGTTTGTTCGAATATTCTAAATTGTTTTGTGGGATTCACCAATTTTGTGAGTGTGAATTAATTATGTGCTGGAAGTGTTCAATGATCTCCTTTTTAGTGTATGAGAAGGCAAGTTTCCATTTAAAAAAATTAATTGAATTTAGTCAAATTGGAGATGAATTTAGTTCAAATCACCACAGTTGAGATTTCCGTGTATGGTACATTTTAGATTCTGATCTTGGTTTAAAAATTTACAAATACTACAATCGCAGTTGGATATGTGCTGTACACCAAGAACACTACAAGGAAAAAATATGTGATCAACAATTACCTCTGCAGGACACCTTGAATATTGGTTTGAAAAGAACAAAAGAGATGAAAGACGACCAAGTTTTTTTCTTCTTTTTACAAATACGGGTCAACAATTCTAGAACACCGACAATTTCTCCCCTTCGAACAATTCATTGTCTTTACCTGACAAACTTGTAAGAAGAGAGAACATAATTTTTTCTTTGTCCGGTAAGGATTTCATCCGAGGCAAATATTCTTGGAATTGCAAGAAATACACCTACCATGCACTAGTTTCTTCTCGTGGTGATTGGTAAAGCAAATGGAGGAATGCTCGAAGGGATTCTCGCCTGCTTTGGAGGCCCACATCACTTCGAACTCTGGTAAAATGGTTATTACATTTATTCTTCATTGTCATCTAGATTATGAACCTGTAGGGCTGCGAGCATAAACTAACCTGAAAAACTGTACACTGATTTCCCAAAGGAACTTTGGATGCCAATCACAACATAGGTACTAGAATAAGTTAAAGCAGTACAATAACAAGAACAAATATTTTGGTTCCAAGAAAAGAAGAGAACTATCTCACGAAAAAAGCAAACTACTCATAAAGGGTTGGTTACATTTGATCACTGCGAATCCCCTCAATAAGAAACCAAAGCCGACACAAAACATAATAAAATTTGAAACAATATTCCAAAATTCACAACGAGATAAACGCATGGATCAATAATAATCTGGTGGAGGATCAATAATAATCAGGCTGGGACTGAATCACTGCTGTTGCTCCCAGTTTTATTCTGCTTTCTCTCTGCCTGGAGTGATCGGCACAGTGACTCCAGCTTTTCTTTTTGATTCCTTGTTTTATCCAGTTGTTTCTTCAACTTCTCTCTCTGCCAAAAAGAAGAATTCAAAGGGCTTTATGTTTCAGGTAATAGAAAGCATATGTTAATAGAGGAATTTTGCAGTAGTGAATCAGCACTGCACCAAAATCACCGGAATGAGCAATGAAATGTCTAGAATATGTATGGGCCGACCACATATAATTAGAGTAGCCAATTGTAGTTGGGGCAAAAGGCTTTCTTGATGTACAACTTAAATTCTATATTTGAAGATAGCACATGGAGGAGGATAACATCCTCCAGTGATGGAGGACACCCTTGCATGAAGTTGAAGAGAGCAACATGCTTAAAAGCTCACGGAGCTTAAGTACTGGTAAAAATCCATGCTTGCATGTCAATAAAAGCTTAAAAATAGGAAGGGTTACCAGTTGCAAATAATCGAGAAAGATGCAATCTACAAATGCGGGCCAACCATACCTCATCAACAAGCTCAATCAGCATAACATCTGATTTCTCGCACTTGCTCTTCAAGAATGTATTTTCTTTCTTGAGTTCCTTGGTCGATTTTGCCATCTATTATTTCCACGACAACAAGGAGAAATGATTACTCAACACACATAATGCACAAGGCACTGAAACAGAGAGAAATCAAGAGTAGGCACATTAATAAAATGTATGTTCTCTTTAATAGAAATATAAGTGTACCTTGTCAATCTCTTGCTTAAATGTTTCAAAAACCTCATTGCTCTTTACCAACGCTTCCTGCAAAATCAACTTAGCACTTTAGATGTTTGTTAAGTTATTAAGAATGTAATATGTAAGTTGTGGGAGATGGATTGAGATAGATTATAGCACTCTCTAACTCAAAAATAATTGCCATGGGCCGCAGACATCACAATGACAAAGTGAAGCGGGATTAAGAAGAGATTACAGATTTTTTTTTTTCTTTTTTGGTTAAGGGAAGCTGATGGTGATTTTAGCTAATTAGATCAGCTGGCATCAATATTGTACAAGGAAAAATAAAAAAAAGCATCTTAGCATACCACCCTTTATCAAGTGTTACCAGGACATGAAACTTGAAATTCACATTCACTATCCAATTTAAAATTCATGTATAATGATGTCAGCTGAACATAACAGCAAATGAAGTTGACCTGGAATTGTTGGAACTTGTCTCCATCTGCTGTCAACTGCAAACGCAAATTCTTTTCAGTTGCCAATAATTGGGACACCTGTTCTGCATATATTTTCATCTGTGATTGCTCCTGAACTAATTTTTCTTCATGCTGTTTGATCTTCAAATCAGCAATCTGAAGTTCCAGTGTTTTCTGCTTTAACTGTGAATTCAAATTCCAAAAACAAGATGAACAGCAACTTTACAAGTACTTAAAGACAAGGAACCAGTGAGCATTCTTCATATTCAAGTAAAGCATAAATTACAAACCTTTTGTGCATTTTGCTGTTCAGAAATGGCATACTGATCAGCAAATTCCTTCAGCTTTTTTCTTAACCTAAGGATGAAAAATCGGGTAGATTATGTTGAGAGCAATAGTATTCACACTTCATATGTTTTAAAAAACCATTGATAGGTGTGCGCTGATAAGTCCTGGATAAATCCAAGAAAGCATCCATGATCTGGTCATGGAAGGGTAGGGACAGAGGACAAAAACTGAGACAGCCAAATCACAAAATTTTGTTTGCGGCTACACAGCTATGGTGGTTCTTATCTATGATATCAAGATGCCTATTGCGTGGTTATACAATCTCAAAGATTCAAGGAATCCAATTCCATTCTGATTCAATTCTTATTCATGAAAGAGAAACATCAAAAACAGCTACGGTCATTATGTATTGACAATTTTGTGTACCAGCAGTAATTTCAGGAAAGGGGAATTTGGAGACAGACCTATCTGTAATAAATGGGCTGCTCACTACTTGAAACTGAACAGTCATAGTCAAGCCCAGAATATTTATCATCGCAACAATATTACTATTATATATTGATTCATCCACTTCAAACAAAAAATGAAATTTCTATAACATTTGATAATTTTGCATGTATTTTATATTTTTCTTACATCTCATTCTCCTTCAACTGAGTGAGAGATTCCTCCTTCTGCTCTTCTAGCCTGTTGCTCACATCCTATAACAGAAGACACTAGTTATTCCAGTTGCATCAGATGGTTCATCCTCCCAGGAAAAAGGAATGATGCAAGTGTACTACAGCTTGATACTCAATCTCAATTGAGTGAAAAATGCCAACCAAACCTTTATTGCATCTTGGAATTTGGTTGATAAATCCAATCTCAAATGTTGCCCCTCTGTTGATACCCGTTTGCATTCATCCTGTCAAATTATCACCCCATCACTTCCTATCTTAATTAGGAAAACAAGTTCTCATATCAAATTTGTACGAGAAACAAAGCATTGAATTAAATAAAGCACAGTTTGTGAATGAAAATACAAGTTCAGAACCTGAAAAGTTTCTTTCCCTTAAGAGTGTGTTATTTTCAAGAGTAGGGATAGATGATAACAGAACTTTAAAAGCCATCAACTGTGGGAAAAGTCAAGGACCTCAACAGGTTTTGCATGCTCAAATACTAACCCAAACATTACCAATCACATGTAAAGTATCATCATCTGAAACAAGTAACAACTTTACAGTTCACTCATTGTGGATAGATACAGTTTACAATCAAGTATACCATCAACAATTTGTTCTGGCGTTGCAACTCTCTGCACAGCGACTCAAGCTTATCACGAACAACAATAGCTGCAGAAGAATAACGGAAAAGGTCACCGGGCATGAGTTTGATCTATCTTCAAAATTGTAAAGATTTTAATGAAAATCACAATGGGTATCATGACTTTACAAACAAAAACCAATAACAAATGGT